CACTGCTTATGGCAATGTAAATTCTATGTCAGCCTCCGTTACTCTGTTATGTTTAGGGAAACGATGTCAAGGAGAAATGCCTGCTAGGTACAGAGACAAAAGCGTTTGATATTCTTGATGGTGGTTGAAACCACAGATTCAGGATACTGTATTTGTTGGCAAAAATACAAAGAAGCATCTTTAAATATTTAGAAAAAGAGTAAAACAAATCAGGGAGCAGTTCTGTTTGGGAAGTTTTGTTGTTGAAAGTCAATGATCTGGCCCCTCCCCAACCTGTACAGTTTAAACTATCTTGCAGATAGCGAGGCCTTCCTTCCCCACAGTAACTGTTACTGGCTCACCCTGTGCAGCCTGTTCTCTGGGCTGGGACAACCCTGTATTATGTTTACAGATGTGAAATATAAAGTGGTTAAAGTAGGTGCTTAACTGAATAAACCAAGCAAAGCAGGTTATATTTGCCTCAATTACCTGAAAACAGTATTCAGACTTTCCTTATTTGGGAGGTGGAGTGTGTGTGTGTGTGATTAATTAGTTAGTAGTTCACATAACATAATCTAACAAAACCTGGTTAACTCAAAGCATGGCCAACTTTTTAATGACCAATAAGGGTTCAACTCAGATTTTAGGATTGATTTATGTAAGACAGATTAACACTAGAATTTCATCCCAGGAAAAGTAACAAAAAGGTTTAAAAATCTTATGGGGAATATCAGAACCAAAGCATCATTTAACTAAAAGACATTTAGAAGCAAATGAACAGAAACATCTTCTTGTTTAACTTTAACAGAATTAAAACAAGCTTTTATCATGGGATTACTATTTTATAAACTGAAGAAATATTAATGGGGAAGTAGAAACATCCCAATTTCAAGGTTCCAAAACTGTAATGTATTTTTAAAATTAAACAAATTCTCATTCTAGGGATGGTGACTGTATCAGCTGTTACCTTATCATCTTGAGACACAGGTCTTTCCTTTCCTCTATTGTGTTTTAATCCATGTTTACAATGGAAGGTAAGACATGAGGCATCAGAGATAGGGTTGTCTATCTTGAGCACTTCATTAGCATTTCGTTCTTGAGCCATGCTCACATGGACAACATGAATTCTTGGTACTACAGGCCACTTTTAGCCATTTGAAGGGAGCTCAGGGGAAAAGTGAATAAGACATTTGATGTGTTTTTGTGTTCTGTGTCTTTTCTTCCTATTTATAAACAACTTTCCACAAAATGGTGCTCTAAAGCTCCAACCAAAAATCGATCAATATAAATAGAACATTTCAACTTATACTTATTTATATAATGTGTTTATCTCTAGTCATTTTACTATTTTTAATATGGAAACTTGTATGTTTTTGAACTCTAAAAGAAAAAAGAAAACCACTCAAAAACAGTTATCAAACAACAAACAGATTCAAGATGCTTGGTTCTTCAAGGGCACTGATGTGATAGAATGGAAGTACAACATCTGGGGACCAGTTAGAATTCTTCAAGTTTCCGATAAAATTTTCAATTTGGTATCTGAGATAAAAATGACCAAGGAGGCAGAGGTGTTGTCTGTTTTGTTTCCTAGCCCTTTGGATAGAGTGGACCACTGCATCCTAGCTGTGTGAAGACAAATTGATGTGAAATGGGATTGCTGGTCCCTTGCTTCCATTGTAACCAGATGTGGGCCTACAATGCACATCTAAACATCTTTCACTGCAGCAACCTATTACCAGACAAACAATCTGGAATGTTCTGTAGACACATGCCTGCAGGTTCCTACCAGGAACATGAAAATGGCTTGTGATTAAGGACAAGCATTTTCATGTTTGAAGAATCCATAAAAGTCTGCAATTGACTCTTTTGATGCAAAAGTGAAGATGCCTGGTTTTCCTATAAAGAAAAGAAATTCTATTTTCATCTATGCATTAAACAACAACAACAAAATAGTAGAGCTGGGTGCGGTGGCGCACACCTGTAATCCCAGCACTCTGGGAGGCAGAGGCAGGCAGATCTCTCTGAGTTTGAGGCCAGCCTGGTTCACAAACAGTCACAGCTACCCAGAGAAACCTTGTCTTGAAAAAAAAAAAGAAAACAACAACAACAACAACAAAAACCAAAAGAAAACAAACAACAGTAAAATTTAGTATGAATTAGGGGTGATTGCAGAAAATGGAAACTTCCAGAAAATGAAAATATTGGGGGCGGGTTTACATTTTATTATAAGGCATATTTTGGGCAACTTGGGGGGGGGCAGTGTTGGCTGGGCTTAGAGTAAACTTATTAACACTGTCCTCCACCTAGCATCTGGGACACCCCTGGTGAAACTGTCTAGGTGTTGAAGAGGCATTTTTCTTTAAGTCTGCTACTGTGTAAAAGACCTTTTTAGCTTTTCCTCCATCATTCAAGATGCAGTTTAAAGGAGAGACAGTCACAGTTTTCACTATGATCCACAGTGGTTGGAAATCTGGAATCTTTGTTCAAACTGAGTCTCCTCAATCTGGAGTGCTTCTAAGAACGAGGAACACAGTAGCACCTTTGAAATACAGGTCGTTCAGACCACTACTCAAGCATTCTCCTGCTCTAAACACAGAGGAAACAGCAGAATGGGGCAGATTGGAGAAGGCTTGAGCTTGTGTGCCCTACACATGTTCCTCTTAAATAAGAGAGAGGACCTGATGTCTAAGGAAGGGTACATTTCTTCCTCTCCTCCTGCTGCACCAGACTCTCCTCAAAGTTCACCTTGTAAAGTCCCTGGCTTTGCCCCTGAGCAATGGGTAGCCATCTCTCCTGTTTCATGTCATGGAATGGTTTATCCTGGAAGTTCTGACTGACATAGACAATTGAATTTTACCGAGAAACAGACATTGGCACGCTCTGGGCACATGGGTTGGTTCTTTCTGTGTTTTGATCAGCATGGGTGAGGCTGGGCAGGAGACAATGACTAGCTGCAGGTATGTGTGTCTTACATGTGAAAATCTAAACACTGACAGCAATGAGGCAACTGTGGAGTTATTCTAAGATAGCAGGGAGTAAGGCCCTAGAGCAGATGCGTGCTTTAATCCTTAAGAAATAAAAGAATACTAGAAAATTTCCTCCAGAACTTTTGAAATGTGTCAGGTTAAAATCCTTTATCTTGTTAGAAATTCTGAACTTGTAGTGTTTATAATTATATGTGCTGCTTTCTTTTTGTCTTCCATGCTGTGGGCATCTCCAGAGTGGGCCTGCCAAAGGTGGGAGTTTCAGAGACACGGGTGCACTATATTCAAAACTTCCCAATAGAACAGACATTTCATTTACACCATTGTCTTCAGCTAATTCTTGATGAGTATTTATCATGGTAATTTTTAAATTGAATTTGCAGACTAGACTGGTTTCAGCCTTATATAGTAATTATCTAACTAGTAGTTTGTTAGTTGAAACTCAGAAAGAAAAGACTGTCTCACACACATAGACAGCTATGTTACCCTTACAACAGAGTTGTGACTATTTTCACACTCACTTTATGTGTGACAGGATTAGAAAGAATTAGCAAAAATACCTAGTTTCACTTTTTCTGGTCTCTTCTGTACCAGCACCTTTTCTGAAATACATCTAATAAACTGTGTGAAATCAGCACTTTCATATATTCTATTTGAATCATGTTTTCCTTTCTTTAAGTAATAATACAGTGTGTATAATAGAAATTGAAAAATGAATGACTTTCAATAAAATTAATTCAGCTTTGTGAGAGAAAAAGCACACAGAGATTTGACTGAATGCTGTAATAGTGCCAAGACACAGCTGATGAGTAGGAAGGTGTGTGTGTCACCAACAGAGGACACTTCGAAAGAGTCATGGACCTGAAGTCATAGCAAAGAACTGACATAAGAAGCAAATTTGTTTTGTGTTATAAAAATATCAAAAGAGAATTGATTTAGGGGGTTTCTTTGGGATTTTGCTATGTATCCACACTTCAATGTATAAAATAATTTTTGCTCATCAAAATGTGTAATTGACAGTAATCATTACCCATTTTCTGCAGCTAAAGTTGGTTTAGCTTGAAAGTTAATGTCCGTGATTAAATACTTAAAAGTCTACATTATTTCACCTCTGGGATGCAGATTCAAAACAAAGGCCTACCCATGTTGTATGTCTTTGCAGGATGCAGACAGTCACTGAACTCCTAACAATAATATATAAGCTACACTCCTCTTCTGAGACTGAGACTGGCCCCTGTAAAACACAGCTCTTAGAGAAATATTGAACTGAAATGCACTGGTCCAGGAACCCAGTGAATATGGGAACATGGGTCCAAGAATACATATAATGCTTGGAAGTCTGTAATAAAGTCACGACTTTGTGAGATTTAGAGACAAACAGCAGTTGTGGTCTCAGAAACAAGTTTTAAAAAATCGTAATTTTTTTCCCCACAAATGGAAACTTGTGGCTGATACATATGAGCACCTCCCAGGCAGGAAGGAAGGGTGCCAGGTAGAGGGAGGCTACCTAAGGACAGCAGTGCCTGAGCAAACAGCTCTCCCAGAAAGGGACCAAAACTGACTGCGGTTCAAGCTGGATCTCAGAGTGAGGTCAGCACGAGTGTACCCCCACTAAGGGAGATCCTGTATACATGGGCACTGGTGCCAAGGGGCACAAAGGGAAGATACATAGGGGGAAGGCCTGAGAGAACCTCTTGATGTTTGTTTGCATGTTTTACAGGTGTCTTTGCACAGGAACTGGCAGCTTCTAATATCCAAGGCCATTCATAAATATCAAACTACAGGTTGAAGAGGGGATTAGCAAGTATATCACTTTAAAATGTATTTGTTGTGTGTGCGCACACATGTGAATGTGTGTGAGTGAAATATTTATAAGGAATACTTTCCAGGTTCTTCCCATGCTGCTGAAAGGTAAAGTGACAAACTTGAGTAGTGTCCCTTCCCTGCTACTTTTTGGTTGGTCACTACTTGTCTGGGGACAGTGGAAAAAAAAAAAACATGAGTTGAGTACTCTTCACTCATCCTTCAGAGCAGCACTTAAAGATATAGGTATCCAACCCAATAGACCAGGTTGAACAGCAGGAAGGACGTCGGGAAGAAGACGCGGGAGTACGAGTCCAGCTCAGAGACATCAATGTGGATGCGGCCTCTCCTCCAAGAGCCTGACTTGCACTCCTCATAGCAGCAGAAGAAGCTCTGGCAGTCTTTGCCATCCAGACACTCATAGACACAGGTGTCCTCAAATTCCTGCCAGTACATGGAATTGTTTAATGTGATCATCACAGGTGGTGGGGGCCTCATATCCAGGAGAGAATAATTCTGCAGGCACAAAAACAGCACAGCAATCATGAAAGACAGGTAAGAACAGCCTGAATTGCATTGAGCAACAGGTACATCTTATGTCTGCTACAAGAAGAAAGGGATGCAGGCCACACCCACCCCATACTTATCTATTAGTGTTCTTTGAATCATTGCAGTTCTGTGAACAATGAAAAACCATGCTGTAGTTTTAAAACTTTGTGTCCCAGGTTTAGGGAGAGGGAGAATACACATTTTCAAAATGTATTTAGCCATTTCAAGTCTTAATTCTATTATCTTGTAGCAAATATGTACATATCCTAGATTTGTTCCTTACATTAAGCCACATGGACATTAGAGCACGGGAAGATAATTGTGACACCTATTTTGACTAGCAAACAGTAGCAGGTGTTATTGTGCTAAAATGGGGAGAAAGTACTGTTACTGCATGTAATCCAGGCAAAGAGAGCTTGCACACCTGCAGCAGGAATACTCTAAATTTCCAAGCTCTCCTCCTGCCTTGGAAAAGTCAGCGTGGGGTGAGGAAAAGGGCGAGTTAAAGAGTTGCCTTTTTTTTTTTTTAGAACCAGGAGAAATCATCCAGTTTGAGAAGGGGCTTCCAGTGGAACCCTTAGGTTTTCAGTCAGCTGTCAACCCCTCAAGAGCTATTAACCACATTCTGAAACACTCCATTTATTGGGGAGTCTGACTAAGTAATGGAAGACATCTGGAAAGACCCACCTGTCTGATATAGCTTCCTCGTTTATTTTTTGAGAAAGGCTCTTATTAAAAATAGACTAGCCCCTAACATCAGGCAAGGACATGGACTCACTTGCCAGCTTTTTTGATCACCTTGCCCTGGTGGGACTGCCTTGCCAGGCCGCAGGGGAAGAGGACATGCTCAGTCCTGATATAACTTGATGAGTTGGGATGGATGGAAAAGGGAGCTCCCCTTTTCTGAGGAATAGGGGAGGGGGGATGAGAAGGATGGATGGGGAGAAGAGGACTACAACAAGGATGTAAAGTAAATACAAAATTAAAAAAGAATTTAAAATAAAAAGAGAAGCCCTCTTTTGAGTTGTTGAACAAGGTTGTTTAAGAGACTACCAAAACATACAGCCTATTGCTATGAGATTTGTTACCCACCAGAGGTGGAAGGCAAGTGTCCACTGCACTTCAGACTCAGGGCAAAGAGGCTCCTGAGCTGGAACTAACCTGAAAAAACCTCTGAGAACTAGCTTTCGGGAGACTAGAATTTGCCAGGTGAGCTTCCAAAGGAGGGAGGCAAATAGCAGTTCTACCTAGTTATAATGCCTATGAACCACAAATAAGACCATCATGGCATGGTACTAATGGTACACTAGTGTTACACTTTGGTGGACTTAAGATTTGCTCAACAAAAGAGAAACCATGTCTGGGTACTGGAACCTAGTCACTTATCAAGGGCCAGTGAAGTCATGGATCTTGGAGTAGAATCTACAACCACCAGTTTACTAAGCCAGCATAATCCCTAACAATATTCTAAATATTTGTCTTTATTGTCCACAAGTAAGTGTAGTTCTTAGCCCTCATCAAGGACACTTCTCTGTGTAACAGATGGAGACAGTATAGAAAACCATAGCCAATCAAAATATAGAGCCACTTAGCCTAAAATCGATATATCTATAGAAGGAATCTTTTTTGTAATGTATGGATGATACAACTGTCAATTAAAAACCTATGGCCTATGGCTGAGGCAGGAAGTAGGTGGGACATCTGCCAGGTAGAAAGGATTCTGGGATAGAGCCAGCCATGTAGGATTAGCCAGCAAGTTGGGAAGAGGATGGATGTGTGGTGTCTGAGCTCAGGTAACCAGCCAAGTGACAGAATGTAGATTATTATAATGGGTTACTTTAAGTTATGAGCTACTCAGAGAAAAGCCTAGATATATGGCCTAGGCATTTGTATAATATTTAATGAGTCCCATGTTTCATTATTCTGGGGGCTTGGAGCTTGGAGAAAAAACCTTCTCCTCCAACATATATCTACAAATGGGTATATATCCTTGCATCTATGGCTCAGAGATCATGTGAAAGAAGAGACAGAAAGAATATAGAACCAGAGAATCAGGGAGTTTGCTCTGAGATTGTGCTTCCTAGTAATGTCAGAATCTATACCCATAAAGTATCACCACCATGGCTGCCTTGAGCGTGCAAGGCCAAAACTAATAGATGGGCCAAAGTGAATGGTGGAAAGCCTATGAGCCCTCAATCCTACACACACACACACACACAAAAAAAAAAAAAAGAAACAAAAACGCTGGCAGTTAAGGATTGTTGAGAATAGGAGAAATAGTTTCTTCCAGGGAAAAGCGTAATTAGTTATCCAATACCAATGATCTTCCCTGAAAATATACATATGAGTATCATTACACAGACTGAGCAATTTATGTTTAAGAATATATGTGTATACATATACATACACACATGTAACAACAATTAACGACAAAAGAGACGATGAATTTGAAATAGAGAAAGAAAAGGTATATAGAAAAATTTGGAGGGAGGAAGGGAAAGGAAAAAAATAATGTAATTTTATTACAATGTAAGGGGAGGAGGTTCTCCCTTATCAGTGGACTTGGAAAAGGGCAGGGAGGAGATGAGGGTGGGAGGGTGGGATTGGGAGGGAAAGAGGGAGTGGGATACAGCAGGGATACAAGGTTAACAAACTGTAACTAATATTAAAAAATTAAAAAAAATGGAGGGAGGAAGGGAAAGAAAAAATAATGTAATTTTATTACAATCTTAAAAAAAAAAAAAAGACTAGCCTGGCCTGAAATTAGTGTATCCTCAGCTGGCCTTACTGTCTCAAGCTCCTCAGATCACAGGCCTGCACCACTGTGTCCATCTCTAGAAGCCCGTATTTAAGTTGGCTGAGTACATTATTCTTTTGGCCATGGTTGGCACAGCTGAGAGCGAGGCCATTCTGACTTGTCAGACACTGCGCCATGCCAGACAGGATACCTTGAGCCTTGTCTGAGTACTTAGAAATGTTCCTTGCAGGGGCACTGTCACATTACCTGTATTTTTAGAATCTAATTTGGATGGATAGATTTATGGCTGTGCAGCATTATAAATGGTGAAAACTGTTGAGTATTCGAAGCTACTCTGTTAGCTTTGCACATGGGGAGACTCCAGTCATAGGCAGGAGGCTTCGCACTAGTTCAGTGGGAGCCTTCAGAGCACCACTGTGTAGCAGCTTCTATAGCTCTGGGGCATGGTCGGAGGTAGAAGACTGGCTGTGTCTAGCTCTCATGAAGATGTGTACCCTCTGGCTTCATGATTCTGAAGCCCACACAAATACCAAAACCACCAGAGTCGCCTGCCAGTTATCCAGTGTATCTGAGAAATATAAATCCTTCTGACAAGCTCCATTTGAAAAAATCTATCTTTGTTAGACGATAACTCTATTAAATATTTTTTTTACATGGGTGCTTTGGCATTTTTTCTGCCAGACATTCACCCACTCAGTTCTTCATCCCTAGGTACCATATAGTCCCTTGGTAAAGTATGAATATGGGCTTTGGGCAATGGGCAGAGGATATGATGGTCCTTGAGGGAAGATACTGAGCCAGGCTGGGAACCAGAACTGTCTCCAAGGAGAGAGACAAATCACTGGAGATGGTGAATTCAGGGGTTACAGGAAAAGCAGTAGGGTAGGCTCTTATGACATGAGAAATCTCAATTTCTTGTTTGGGAAATGAGGAGCTGAGTTGCTGGAGCTCAGTGGAAACTCTGTGGGATAGCAGTAGAGCTCCAGAGCTCGATAGCTTGGGAATTTGAAATGTGTTCCATTTCATAAGAGTGAACTGGAACTTAAGCTGTGATAAGCCCTCCATGGCTGTATTGTGTGCTGTGTAAGCATTTCTCCTGCTCCATGTACCTGCTCAATTGTCTCAAGTATTTCAAACTATGCCTGAAAGAAATTTAATCAATGCTTCTCCCCATGTCACCTTTGGCCCAGCCAGTGTCTGACTCACTTGCCTTTCACCATGTGTCTGACACAACCCCATGTCCTCCATGGAACACTGCTTTCTAGTCGCTTGTGAAGGGCATCAACCTTATATAACAAGTTAGGAAACTGATGTGCAGGGCAGTGTGAACAGCTTGCCACCACCCCGCTGCCACACACACACACACACACACACACACACACACACACACACACACCCATGTCCTTATTCCTTTGGAGACTTCTCACTTGTGATTCATTATTTCCAGGAATAAAATAGAATAAGAGTTGAAACGGTAAATATTCTATCCAGCAGGTAGGTGCTTTCTTACCCCTCTGGCTTAGCTGCCTGTCAGCCTTAGTTGTGTCTTCTTACCTGCAGTGGCACTGTTTGTTGTGACCTGTCTTTATAAATTCTTCTAGGTCATTAACCTTTTTTTTCTACCCACAACTTTCTTTTTCTGGGTTAAAAGATTTTTCCCTTTCCTTTGGCAGAATCATTTCTACACAAAAGACATCAATGTTTTCCCTCAGCATGCAGGTGTGTGCGAAGACGGGCTCTTGGGGCCTCAGGCCATTAGTTTGATTGGTGTCTGTCATCCTGCACTTCCCTTTTCTATGGCTTCATCTAACCCTCAGTGGAAGCAATTTCTGGCTTCTCAGGGCCGACAAGATGCTTGTCCACTACTGATCTCCCAAAGTCCCATGATATGTATTCATTAGGATTACATATTTTTTTTCCTCATAAAAATGGTTGAGATGCACAAAATACGTGGCCTCATTAAAAGCTGGGAGCCACTCGTGGTGCACAGGTGGAAGGAAACCCACAGTGAGTGGACACAAATCAAAGAATAAAAGTCAGGGTTCCACATAAACATGATTCATGACAAAAGCGGTAGTTAGATCAGTGGTTTGACATGAAAATTCTAAGTTTTCACTCCAGTTTCCTTCTTACTAGCATCTGTAAGAGCTGATTTCTCCATACTCAGTTTCACTTGTAAGCATAAAATGAGTTGATATTTAGACATATGTTATCTCAAAAGTGCTCAAAAAACTGAGGGATTCATGTTATTTGTAGGAGAAGGAGGAACATTTCATGGGTGGTAGTTTGGTCAAGCATGAAATGACAACAACGTGAAGGCTAGAATAAACATCACATTACAAACTGCAGGCTAATATCCCCAACATACTTGATATGTAACTTGGGCATTTCAGATTGTTTATAAAATGGAACATACAATTAACATTGCATACCATACAATTTGCATTAACAATTAATGCAAAGATCTGGCAGATTGCTATTTTAATATAAATAGAAGTTTGAACTGCAGAGACAGCTCAGTGAACATCATTTAGTTTCTTAGTATGCAGGAATACAAAGAACTCAAGTTTGTATAGTCCAGCCAGAAGCATGCATGCTACATCATGGACCCCATGTGGACAGGTTAGAATGTTTCCTCTACTTAGCAGGTATTCTAATTTGGTTGTTTTTTTAGCAACAATTTTTTTCTCTAAAGGGTCAAATGCAGCACTCATTTGAATTCAATGCATACATTTATGAAGAACATGTCTTTCAAGGCAAGCTTAGTTTAGTCAAAGTTCTCAGAAATTCTGGCACCTGGAAAGGCTATACATACAGAGGGTGCTTGTAGGCTTATTCGATCAGGAATCCATCTGGTGGAATCTGGATGTAATAACTGCAGAGAGAAAAAAGAAGCAGAATTGGAGAGAGGCCATGGACTCTGCTGTCTTGAAGACATGCCCACTCTGATCACTGTCACCAGCACTCTCTCACACTGGAAAAGGGGAAGGCATCCTCAGCTTGCTGCCCCATCTATAAGATTATTTCACTTTCTAAGGTCTTTAAGGTCATAATAGCTTTCAGCACACGTTGACCTTAAACTGGTCCCCTGCTGCAACTGAGAAAACCTTGGCTCTCCTCACCACTCACCGATGTCTTCTTCTTCCTGACTGTTGGCTTTCGACAGCTTGAGTAATAGTTGAGAGTGGCATACTCCATCAGTGCGGCAAAGACAAACAAGAAGCACACTGTCACAAAGAGGTCCATGGCAGTCACATAGGACACCCGAGGCAGGGACTTCCTGGCAATGGTACTGAGTGTGGTCATGGTTAGCACTGTGGTGATGCCTGCAGAGGGGACAGTTGTCAGCTTGTCAGAGGTCTGCACACCGGACTGAAAGACCAAGAGTGATACAAATTTAGAAACATGCAGATTTTGATTTTGACTGAGCATTGTCCCAGGCAGCTGATACATGGAGGCTGCCCCTAGAAATTTGGCAGTGGTGGAGCCGCCCACTGTGGTATGCTAGGTGAGCTTGAAGTGAGGAGACAAGGTACCATTAGCACATTTCCCAAATGGATTTCAAACTTCTGATGGGTTGTGGGAACATAATACATATATATATATAATGTGTGCATATACTCTATATTTTCCTGTTTTATGTTTTTATTTGTGTACTCTGCTTGTTATGGTTTGAATAAGAATAGCATCAGTAGCTCATATGTTTGAATACTTAGTTCCCAGTTAGTGGAACTGTTTGGGAAGGATTAGGAGTTATGACTTTGTTGAAATACGTGTGTTATGAGAAACAGGCTTTGTGGTTTCTGAAGTGCACGTCATTCACAGTTAGCTCTCTGCTTCACACTGATGCATCAGGATGTAAGCACTCACCTACTCAGTAAATTGCTTAGACTTATCCTGAACTTATCTATATCCCAGACTAGTCAAGGTCACCAAGATAATTATAGTCCTATGCTTCCAGGCTTGGCTGAAGAGCCAGTTTTTAGTATTAATTACATCACATTTTTACCATTTCTATTAATTGCCATTCTTACAGATCCAATGTTGTATCTATTTTCATTAGTGTAATTAATCTGAGTATTTTTTCCTTGTAGTTTCAGGTCTTCTGGAACAAGTTTTTCAGCTTTTGTTTCATTCAAAGTGTTTTATTAGAGCAAGATTTTAGAAGTATATAGTCTAGGGACATAGGGCTTGAATGGACAGGGGGTATGATTTCAACACTTAAAGGCTGACAATGCCTTTATTTTTGCACTTCGTTTAAAGGTATGGTTATAAGTGGGTAGTCGAAGGGGGGTCTGCTGCCCTCTTCTAGCTTCTTTAAGCATCTGTACACACACACACACACACACACACACACACACACACACACACACTTCAAATAAAATATATCTTTATAAAATTGTAGGTGTTTTGGGGATCTTGCAAACAAAATCTGAAAGGAGGCATAACTGGCCACAGATTGTTGGAAACAGAAGACAGAATGTTGGTCAAAATAATCTTTCAATCAGAGATGTCCTGCTTAGGTATACTACGGCAACCTGTGCTCCATAGGAAGTTGGTGTTCCCTTCTTTAGAACAGGTTTGCTGAATTAGAAATCTATATTTCACATTATCTATTTAATATACTCACAAACACATTATTTAGTGTTTAGTCATTTATATTTCATTAGTAGTACAAATTTTGTAATGTTGCCATCTTAAGTGATGGTAAACTTTGTGGGTGCCTTCCAAATATATGTAAATAAATGTTGTTATTTATTGTAAGCAAAAATATCTCTGGTCCTTAAAAATTATAACCTGGTCCCGGGGTGGGGCTGCAGGGATGAATAGTCCAGCCATGGGCCATGCATGGAGAGGACCTAGAACCCCTGCTCAGATGCAGCCCATAGACAGCTTAGTCTCTAAGTGGGTTCCCTAGTAAGGGAAGCAGGGGAAGTCTTTGACATAAACTCAATGGCTGGCTCTTTGATCACTTCTCACTGGGGGTGCAGCCTTGCCAGGCCACAGAGGAAGATGATACAGCCAGTCCTGATGAGACCTGATAGGCTAAGGTCAGAAAGAAGGGGAGGAGGTCTTACCCTATCAATGGACTATGGGAGAGGCATAGGGGGAGTAGAGGGAGGGAAGGTGGAACTGGTAGGAGACTAGGGAGAGGGCTACAGCCAGGATACAAAGTTAATAAATTGTAATAAATAAATAAATTTAAAAAAATATAGAACAGACATGTGCAAGTCATAGTATTTAAAAGTTAGAATAATTTAACTTAAAAATTAGAATAATTATAAACAAACACATATATAATTTCAGTGCTGAACTGAGGCATAACATGCTAAATATTTCCTTAAAAAACTATTAAGAATCTATTTAATAAGTTTTCTATACATGCCATAAACAGGTAGATAAAATGGTGGAAGCATATATTCTAGAGAATTAAAAACCCAAACAGAGTATGACATCAGATTTCTCCTCTAACAGAATCTTTGTAGCTAGTCAATTTCATGTTTTCAAGTCAGATATGGGAGCATGACAGAACTTGTCATGTAGCAGATTCTCAACAATTAAATTTAATTTATTGAAATAGGTAGATGTAAACACTTTATCCTGTTACTTTAAGCTGGGACATTTTTCAAATAAGAACTGTAGATGCTTATGGTGCCTTTGAATAAACTCTTAGCCAGAGACCTCCTTCATCATGGTGTGAAACTCTTGCTCTTGTGATCTGAATTTTAAAAACCTTCAAACACAAATTAAGAAGGGGAGTGTACCAGGCCACAAAGGAAGACAATGCAGCCACTCCTGATGGGACCTAACAGACTAGGATCAGAAGGAAGAAAAAGAAACCCTCCCCTACCAGTGGACTTGGGGAGGGGCATGCGTGGAGAAGAGGGAGGAAAGGAGGGATTGGGAGGGGAGGAGGGAGGGAACTAGAGGGGGTATACAAAGTAAATAAAGTGTAAAAAAAAAGAAGGGTAGTGAATCTGAGACCTTATGTAGGCTTCAGAATTTATGGTGACACTGAGGCCAGTGTGAAAGTGAGCTTGGGAGCCTGCATCAGAGACAGGAAGGAGGGACAGTTAGAAACGTGTACACTAAGAATTCAAACTGAATCAAATTGCATGCAGTGAGTGAAATAAATCAACTGTCCACTGATGTTACTGTGTGACAGCTGAGAGAGGATGCTGAAGATGCCACTTACCTAATGTTGTTCTTGCTGGTGTCGCATCTTTTTTGATCCAAAATGAAACCCAGGACAGAACCACAGTGAGGATGCAGGGAATATATGTCTGGATAGTGAAGTATCCCATTCTCCTGCTCAGTTCGAAGTAGATAGTCATGACAACATAATCACCTGTAATAAAATATTTCTCAGGTCAAGACTATATTCATAGATTAAAATAGTGCAGGTAACTTATTTATAGTTTAATTTTCAAACTCAATTATGTGATGAAAACTACAAGGATAGCAACAACAATTGGAAAAAGTATCAGATGCTGGTGCTGTAGAACTGTATCATGCCCATGGCTTTGTAAACATTTTACTGCGCACTGTAAAGGGTGCACTAGAACATGTTAATGAGTAAGGCACAGGCATGCACATCTACTCAATGGCAGGCAATTTGATAAGGAATTGTTGCTGGAGTCCATCTGTATGCTGCATAGTTACATCAAGAATAACAAGAAATTTTAATCTTCAAACAGATCTAGGGTCATTCTAAGGCTTTTTTATTTCAATAATAGCAGAAAGTAAACTTATTCTTTTCATTTGAAATAATTCCATTATTTTTAGAGTGGTGCATGCTAAAATGTTGTTTCTACTTCACTGTGACATTGCAAAAGAAGATACATGTATCTTTATGTGAAGTGTGTATTCCTATCCAAGTCTTCAACATCCTCTCTTTTAATTTTATTTATTAATTATTATGTTATTTATTTATTTGTTTTACATACAGATTGCATCTTTCTCTTCTTCCTCTCCTCCCAGACCCTCCCCTCATCCATCCCTAATACACTTATCTGCAAAAAAGGGGAGGCCTCCTTATCAACCAGCCATGGCATATCAATTTGTAGTAAGACTAGGCTCATCTTCTTTTATTGAGGCTAAACCAGGTAACTCAGTTAGGGAAAAGGGATCCAATCCAAAGGGATCTTTTCTACAGGCAATGTAGAATAGAAAACCAACAGCTTAGGCACCAATGTCAACAATAAATAAATGGGACCTCATGAAACTGAAATTCTATAAGGCAACGGACATCATCAAATGGACAAAATGGCAGCCTACAGAATGGAAAAACATCCTCACCAACTCCACATTTGACAGAGAGCTGATATCCAAAATACATAAGAACTCAAGAAACTAGACATAAATCAATCAAATAACTCAACATGTTCTCTTTATAGTCATTTAAAACAATTAGAGAGCACTGCATGTTGTAAATAGAAGAATGTGATAAGTTCACTAAATCTGGCTTTACTTCATGCTCTAAGCCCTTTTTAACCTTAAAGTTATAGTTATTAGAACAAGTAAAACATGGCAAAAAATTAAGTATACCAATATGTAAAACATTAATTAGCAAATACGATTATATTCAAATTAAGTTCTAGAAAAACCTTTAGAAAAATTGCTTGGGTTACTAAGAACTCATTGAATTATCCCTTAAAATAAATTTTGAGGTTTAAATATTAGTGAGGTCTTTTCCCTTTAGACACACATACATGTTTAAGTTATAGTTTATGTTTAGAACTATGTTTCTATGAGACACAGCAGTCCTGTGTTGATTCCTAACTTGGCAAAAGATTAAGAGTATGGAATGATTTATATAAAAATAGCATGGAATTCTCATTTTCATTCCAAAGTCTGAAGGATCATGGACTTGTATTCTTGTTTTAAAAACATGAAACAGGTGTGCGATATACACATTGAACATTAGCATACTGGTGGTTTCAAAAGGGAAATGAGATTATGGGGCAGGCCACCACCCCAGAATCTGAATGACTGAGGGCATCCAGAAATATTCAGGAGATGAGATGCTCACAGGAACAGAAGGTCTGGAGGTCAGCAGAAGCACTAGTAACTGGAGAAAATTTGTGGAGGCTTAATGAACAATAGTGAAAGTGAGAAGTTCCCAAGGGCAGTAGACATGCTAAGATTGGTCACCAAGATGCTTTTCCTCCAAGTTCCCACTTTGTTCTCAAAGGGAGGATGTGAGGAAGCTCCCATCACACCTCAGTTTATCAGAAGTATAACCATCATAAAACTTTCTCAGTACTTTTCAAACCGTCAGGTTTACTAAAACCAAAGGAATACAGATATTCTCAGCTATCAAAGCCTAGGAAAAAGAATGTTGACTAAATGCAGTATATCTGTCATTGGAAAATTATGGAGAAAAATGAGGGACACCTGGTCGTTATGGTGTTTACTTAACAATGTTGAATCAACATCTCATCTCATCTGGTTTTCAAATGTGCTACAGTAGTTTAGAGAAGTGAGGAAACTGGGTCTGTGGTGCCAGTTTATGCTATCTGCACAAATTTTCTGTAAATCTGAAAACTGTTCTACACAGAAATAATCATTTATTTTTTAAAACCACAACCAAGAGATACAATCTCTTTATTAAAAGTTTTTCTTTTTTGTTCTAATACAATTTTATTTACAAACAGAGATAGGAAACTAGATTTGTGTACCAATACCTTCCCAAGTTATTACATTACTGTAACATTTATCAGACCAACTTAAATTGCATATTTGAAGCTGTAGTGAATTGAATGATGAATTGTTATATTTCATTAAGTACTAACAGAATAAAATGTTTGATAATTTTACTTATTCTTTCACTAGTCAGGAACTTTAGCTTTTTGATTACTTAATTAATTAATTGCATTTATTTATTAATTAATTACAGTTTATTCACTTTGTATCTCAGCTGTAGCCCCCTCCCTCATACCTCTCACTCCCACCCTCCCTCTCTCTTCTGCTCTCATGCCCCTCCCCTAGTCCACTGATAGGACTGTCTCCTCTCCTTCCATCTGACCCTAGTCTATAAGGTCTCATCTGGACTGGCTGCATTGTCTTCATCTATGGCCTAGTTAGACTGCTCCCCTTCAGGTGGAAGTGATCAAAGAGCCAGTCACTGAGTTCATGTCAGAGGCAGTCTCTGTTCCAATTACTAGGGAACCCACTTGTACACTGAGCTGCCATGGGCTGCATCTGAGCAGGGGTTCTAGGTTATCTCCATGCATGGTCCTTGGTTGGAGTATCAGTCTCAGAAAAGATACCTGTGCCCAGAACTTTTGGTTTTGTTGCTTTCCTTGTGGCACTCCTGTCCCCTCCAGGTCTTTCTATCTCCCCCTTCTTTCATAAGATTCCCTGCACTCTGCCCAAAGTTTGGTTATGAGTCTCAACATCTGCTTTGATACCTGAAGGGTAGAGTCTTTCAGGGCCCTCTGTAGGGCCTGTCTGTCTGTAGGCCCTCTGAAGGGTCCTGTCCTGTTCCCTGTTTTCTCCCTCTTCTGATGTCCATCCCCTTTGCCTTTCTGAATGAGGATTGACTATCTTAACCCAGGGTCCTCCTACTTGCTCAGCTTCTTTAGGTGTACAGGTTTTAGTATGATTATCCTATATTCTATGTCTAATATCTACTTATAAGTGAGTATATACCATGTGGGTCTTTCTGCTTCTGGGATACCTCACTCAGGATGATCTTTTCTAGTTCCCACCATTTGCCTGCAAATTACATGATTTCCAATGATCCAAGATTTTACAAATTTTTCAGAGCGGTTGAGGTCAATCCTTTCATGATTCATCTATCTCAATAAAGGATCCACAGGAATAATGATGGTGAAGAGGATCAGTGGATGATGTAATCAATTGTTGGCCAATTGGAACAGCTTGTTTACTTGTCTATAGTGATTGCATGTTAACAAGTTTTTATTGAACTCATCAAAGATAAGTTTTCAAGTCAAACAACTAATCTAAATTATAGAGATAGAAATGTTGCCTTTAAGCACAGTTTACCTGGGAAAATACATAATACATAATATTATGTATATGTATTTGCAGTATGAAGAAGTTGCATCTAACTTGCCAAATGCTAGTTGTGAGGTATCATGTTTGAAGCTCCTTTATGGCCACAGTCACCTCTTATGTTTGTTCTGCTGGGTTTTTTTTTTTTTTTTGCTTTTTTTAAAATTTTTCTTTATTAATTACACTTTACTCACTTTGTATCCCCTCCTGGTTCCTTCCCTCCTTTCGTCCCAATCCCTCCCTTCCTCCACCCTCTGCATGCATGCTCCTCCCCAAGTCCACTGATAGGGGAGGACTTTTTTTTCTTCCTTCTGATCCTAGTCAATTAGGTCTCATCAGGAGTGGCTGCCTTGTCCTCTTCTGTGGCTTGGTAATGCTGTTTCCTCCTCAGGGGAGGTAATTGAAGAGCAGGCCAATCAGTTCATGTCAGAGACAGTCCCTGTTCCTATTACAATGGAACCCACTTGGATACTGAACTGCCCTGGGCTACATCTGTGCAGGGGTCTTAGGTTATCTCCATGCATAGTCCTTGGTTGGAATAGCAGTCTCAGGAAAGACCCCTGTGCTCAGATTTTTTGGTTCTGTTGCTCTCCTTATGGAGTTCCTGTCCTCTCCAGATCTTACTGTTTCCCACTTCTTTCATAAGATTCCCTGCACTCTGCCCAAAGGTTGCCCATAAGTCTCAGTATCTACATTGATAGTTTGCAGAGCTTTTCAGAGGTTCTCTGTGTCAGGCTCCTGACTTGTTCCCTCTTTTCTCCTTCTTCTGATGTCCAGCCTCTTTGCTTTTCTGGATAGGAATTGAGCATTTTAGCAAGAGTCCTCCCTCTTGATTAGTTTCTTTAGGTGTACAGATTTTAGTAGGTTTATCCTATATTATATGTCTATATGAGTGAGTATATACTGTGTGCAGTGTTTTGTTTTGTTTTTTTTTTCTCTTAAGAGAATGACCAGATTTTCCAAAGAAACACTATGAAAATTCTGAAAAGAGCTACCCCATGAGGTACTGTGAGAGAGCAAGTACATCTATACAAAAACCTCTACCTGTTCCATGATATTTGTCGACATACAGGAGAAAGGACAGCGAAACTCATTTACTAAGTCAGAGGTGGAAACCTATAAGTATAGGCTATGGGTGTAGCATCTGGAAAAGACAAAATGCTCTGGGATTGGAGAGAAGCAAGGATATGTGGCATGCCCCACATTACTTCTAAAAGAGGAGTGGGAATGATTTCCAGAACCACAACCACAGCCGTGAGTTTTTCCTAGGACTGGGTCTTAGTTAAAGCATCAGATGATATCTCACTTCTTCCTCATTCCAACAACAAA